AGCCATTTTGAATGTTTTGATTATTTTGATTTATTATGTTCGGTTTATCGTTTGTCAAAATTTTGTGGGATTTTTTGCACAATTTTGATAATGCGATATTAATTTTAACGTTTAAACGCACAAACGTTTGAATGTTAATTTGATTGTAATTTAATTAAAAAACGGGCCCCTTAACCTACGTCACGTAGTCATGTGACACGTACTGAGGCTCATGGGAAATTTTCAACTTTTCCATACCTGTGTAAATCTACCTTGTCAACTGACCGCTGGCCGCTAGGTACCTGGGCGGGCGAGCGACAATATGTAAGCGGTGGCATATGGTTCGATTGACAGAGGAGTGGGGAACGGTCAGACGTAGGGGAAAGGTTCAGGCTGAACCGTTCAGCACAGCGCAGCGTCAGTCACCGGGTGGGGAAGAGAGTCCGGGAGGGGACACTTCCCCTCTAGTGAAATAGAAAAAGGCAGAATCCTTCGAAGTTTATATTAATGATAACAAAAATGTAAATTGTACTACTTGTGACTGCAATATGAGATCCTTCATGTTAGAATTTTAATTTTTTTCAGTGAATTAATACATTTGATTTTCTTGTTTGTTTCTAACATAGGTTATCTCTAAAAAATGGCTTGGATACACCGGCAAACCAATTGAAGACATAGTGAACATCGGAATTGGAGGATCAGATTTGGTAAATAACTTAATTATAATTTTTTGCAATGAAAGTATGATGTCTTTATCCAGAATTTCAAGCTTCCAGAATACTGGTCGTTTTCAGAAAACGGCCCCCTCGTTGTTTCCAGAATAATCCATAGCGGCAGTGCTATGTAAACCATATCACTGTCAGTTATCTTCCCTTTTTTTGATATTTATATCACCTGAAAACTTAGATGTTGCATGGGGAGCAACAAAACAACTACAGGACTCCCTGAGCCTTGCTCGTTGGCCGTTATCAAAATCAATAAGGAACTGATAAGATTATTCCAGACCTGTTTTGACTGCTACCTGTCTCATCTCTCATATCTGCTTGACCTTTAAATCAAATAGCCTCATTAGTGTCCATTCAAGTGCTTGCTGATAAAAATTTCCATTTGGGATATCAGTCGTGAAGACCAAGGTGATGGTCTTTTCATAGTTATCTAATTCGTCTGTTGAATCTCAGACTCCCTATGATTTGAATCCCTTTCAAAGGTTTATCATACGTGCTCATGTCAGCTATGATTTTAATTTATATGTCCCTGTCTGCAACACAGCTAGGAAGTTACTAAGGATTTCCAAAAAAACTAATAAACAGAACTACTTGAAAATTTTACCTTATATTTTTTTATCATCAAGATTAATCCCTGAAATTTTCATTTAAGTACTCATGTGTGAAAATTTAATACAAAAAATCTAAAGAATATTGGCACCATCAGCAACATAGCGTCCAAGCGTGAATTGGGCCTATGATACTTTGGCAAGAGGGTGACGAAATAGCTTCGTCCATAAACTTCATCCTCTCCATGAAAAAGTTTGGCTTCTTTCCTAGTCTGAGGGAGAAGAAATTTGATTTTGAAAAATCAAGTATAACACCAAACCCCTCAAGTTTGTAGAGTTAGAATCTGACGTAATAAGCCTATTCAAGTCAAGTCAAAACCCAAGGACCTGAAAGCCAACAACAAAATCAACAGAAGAGCATTCCAGAAAGAAGGATTCTCACCCCTTTGCCTTATAATTTTACCCTTTTTTTCGTGCAATTTTGGTGAGATCTGTGATATTTCTCAATTTGTTTTGCTGTCTTGCCTCCCTTGCTTGAGCACACCTAGCCTCTTCTTGACATGTTATGCCCCCCCCCCACCCTTCAATCATATTTGGCTGAAATAACGTCCCCACCAACAAGTCATTGGCTGATAGATATTAATTCTGTAATGAATGATATTTGTTAAATACCTCTAAATGCAGGATCAGTGTAGCATAAAAATGTGTTTATCTCATCATGCCAGTTTTATTTCAAAATTTTTTCTATTACAACTACCTAGCCATTGAAGAAAAAAAAAAATCTGTTTTTTCCTCTCAGGGCCCATACATGGTGACAGAAGCGCTGAAGCCTTTTGCAATTGGCCCGCGAGCTCATTTCGTCTCAAACATTGATGGCACTCACTTGGCGGAAGTACTGAAGAAAATTAACCCAGAAACAACGCTCTTCATCATCGCAAGTAAAACATTCACAACCCAGGAAACTATCACCAATGCAACTTCAGCAAAGCAGTGGTTCTTACAGGCTGCCAAAGATGTAAATTTCAGTGTTTTAGCAATCCTAGCATTAGTTTTTCTTCTCTCTCGATTTCTCAACTAGTAGAAGATAAGTTTAAAAAATGGTGGTCCCGTTTTGATCAAGTAAACTGGTAATTTTTTGGCAGTTTGATCGTAGCATTTTATTTCTGAACAGCAATTCTTAATGTTTTCATATTTAATTTTCAGTCAGCAAGAGATGAATAGGAAAAATCTATTATTGATGTTTAGAAAATTTATGAATTCCATAGAAAATTGAATAATGCATTTTTATCCTCATTCTAGTTGGCTTAAAATTTTTTCCAGTGATTTCTTCAGTAGGATGTTATTTGACGCAGCATCCAAAGAGGATCCATCTTAAGAAGTTCATTACTGAGAGTGTAATTAACTCATAAAGATGATTGGCCATTTTTTTAAAGCTGTGTAACATTTCAAACTAAAATTCTGAATTTTTTACCTAGCCCCCTATGCTTTTTCCCTGTAATGATGATCGTTGTTTCTGACCATGCTCTTTTATTTTTGTCAGCCTGCGCATGTGGCCAAGCATTTTGTTGCCCTCTCGACAAACGCACCCAAGGTCACCGAGTTTGGAATCGATGAAAAGAACATGTTTGCATTTTGGGACTGGGTTGGAGGTCGCTACTCTCTCTGGTCCGCCATCGGTCTGTCCATCGCATTGAACATTGGTTATGATAACTTCGAGAAGCTCTTGGCTGGCGCCCACTTTATGGACAATCACTTCAAGACAGCACCTTTGGAGAAAAATGTATGTATGCAACAACAGTGAAACTGCAGAATGTTTCTCATGGTAATTGTTGTTGCAGACTTCATGTCAAACTTTATTTTTTCAATGGAAAAATAATGAATGTCATCTCTTTGAAACCTGCCCAAGTTTTCCTATCTGTGTAAAGAATAATCTATGAATAGCCTCGATTTCTTTCTGTTGATAAAATAAAATTAGAACAAAGATTTTGAATTACTGCAAATGAGATACGTATTCCTGCATTTTCATGGTCCATAAGTTCTGACTGTTTGAAATTTATTTTGTTTTGAGTATATTGGCAAATTGCGAATATTTGCACCGTCTTGAATTGTGAATTTTTGAACCAAAATTCTTAAATATTTGCACCGCCTGGGGTAACGAATTTTCAAATATTCGCACCATCAAAAACAACGAATTTCTGAGTGGTAATCGTGAAACATTGCAAGGACCTGTGCAAGGCTTCCATCCAAGACATCGCATACGGCGGATCTCCTTTGATCTTTACCTACTTAGCCGAGTTTACGAACAGCACGAGTGATCGCGATTGGCCCTGTATTTTGGTTGCTCCAAGAGTACCACACATTGAAAGTTAAATAACCAAGATGGAAAGAGGGGAAAAGTGCATAAACACATTTTCATTGACACCAAAAAAAATAAAATACTAAAAATTTGTCTGATGATCCTTAGATTCTAGCTTGACTGCCTGGGCAGTTACCCTCAAATCCTGGGAATGCATACATAACTGCAGGAACAGTCAAGCCAGCATCCAGGGATCTTCAAACACATTCTTAACAGCGGAGGCTACTATCATAGCATTTCTTTGTTTTCTGTACAGGTGTATGAGCAAACGGAAAATTCTTAAAAACAAATCAATCACATTCATTTGTCGACATTTGTAATATTTGCAAATTTTTGCACTCGAAAAGTCATTTTAAATTATTTGTTACATTATGCGTAGTTGTAAATAATTGACTTCAATTATTCCCTATTTGCTTTGTTTGAAAAATTCTCTATTCGCACAGCCCTGATATTTTTTCCCCTCTTTCTAAGAACCATGAGCAAAATGTCAATTTGCTGAACCTTTGAAACCTTGTGATAAAAATAAAGCACTACAACTCCAGTTTAACCCACTCTAGTTTCACGCTTTTGTTTAGACAAGTGATTAATTTATTTCTTCTTCTTTTCAGGCCCCTGTAATACTTGCATTGCTGGGAATTTTGTACATCAACTTCTATGGAGCTGAAACTCATGCTCTTTTACCTTACGATCAATATCTTCACAGGTTCGCAGCTTACTTCCAGCAGGGTGACATGGAGTCAAACGGAAAGTAAGTCCATACTCTATGGTTCCTCTTTAACTACAGTGGACTCTCGATAATTCGAAATTGAAGGGAATGGGCTTTTTATTCGAATTAGCGAGGTTTCGAAATAAAGAGAGTTCGAATTAAAGAGATTCCATGTGGAGAAATTTCGAATTAGAGAGGTTCGAATTATAGAGGGAAGGCGCCATCTGAATTCGAATTATAGAGGGGCAAATGGACGGATTTATGCCAAAAGATCTTTAGGTCAAAGGTCAAGCTCTTTCAGACACCCAGATACATAAACAGTTGACTTCGAATTGTAGAGGGAATGTACCGTCTTATTTCGAATTATAGAGGGAGGGCCATATTTACTTCCCACACTTCGAATTACAGAGAGAATTTTAGTCGCAATTTCGAATTATAGAGGGCCGCGCCAGGTTAAAAATTTCGAAATAACGAGGGGAGAAAAATACATTGATTATCTTCGAATTATCAAGAGATTTCCAAGGGAAACAGACTTTCCTTCGAATTAACGAGGTTTTCAAATTATCGAGGTTCGAATTATCGAGAGTCCACTGTATTGGTAGCTGAATAGGGATTGAATTTAAATATTATGTTACCCACCCACCCAAAAATTATATGAAGAAAAAGTTGTTGTGACGTTGGGACAATGTTTTCGTAATGACTCATCGGAAGATTAGGGTCATTCCATATTGAAATTCCAATGAAGTTGTACAAGTGCCTTGGATTTTGATGAAATTCGGTGATTATGATGAGGCTTATTCTTGTATGGAAATCTTAAAATTCCGGCTTTCAACAGCAAATAGAGTGAAACTGGGTGTGTGAGCGAGGGAGGGAGAGGTAAAAAATAGTAGAAATCACCTGTTTCCTCCCCTGAATTGTGCATAGAAAATAATTAAACTATGAAAATCTCTGCAATTTTCCACAAAGTGGGTTTTTAAGTTGTTACATCATCAATTTTCAAAAATTGTAGCATTTTTTGTTTTGTTCAGAAGAATGACTCCTAAACCCATGACAATATCAGAAGTGTACAAATCAAAAGTTAGGGTGTCAAATTTGAAACTTTCTATTTCACTTTTCAATAATTTATTTTACTCTCCTCAGGTATGTAAACAGAAGTGGTCAAATTGTAGATTACAGCACTGGTCCAATCGTTTGGGGTGAGCCAGGAACCAATGGCCAGCACGCTTTCTATCAGCTCATTCATCAAGGAACTAGACTTATCCCCGCTGATTTCATCGCTCCTGCAATTACACATAACCCAGTTCAAAATGGTCTCCATCATAAGGTAGGCGGTTCATGAAAACTAAGATAGTTCGAAACAGTTGATTTACATTCTGCAATCATCATATCCTGGTTCGACTTTTACAAAATTTTCTCACCCGCACCACTCGCCTTTATTGGTAGATATGTTAGTAGCTGTTCAAACAGCCTGAAATCTGTCTGCCAATAAAAGTTAGTAGCCTCTGTCCGAAAATTTTGTAAAGGTTCAACTTGCAATTAGACGTATTTCTATCAAACAGAACTAAGCGCCAATTTGAGTTCCTTTTGAGGAATTTAGAATCCCGGATAGCGCGTTCTGTCAAACGGACCTAAGCGCCATGGAAAAGCATTGCGAGTATAGGACAGAATAAGCCAGACGCCCGATTCCGCCGCCAATCCAAGCCCCCTCTACCTTCCTCACCCTATGGTGCTTAGGTCCGTTTGATAGAAATACGTCCAATTTTCTCCTGCTGCCTTCTTGTAAAAAATCCTGTGTTTATCTATTGGTCATAAAAAAAAAAAAAAAAAAAAAAAAAAAAAAAAAAAAAAAAAAAAAAAAATTACGACTCCTCTAGATTTGCTGTGTCCTCTACTTTGTCCTGTGGATCAAAAAAGATCCGAAAGTAGTCTCGAGGATGCTAAAATATTTTGCGACATCCTTTTTCCAGTCTTATACTCTGCCTCTGCTCTTCTCTGATGCTCTTGAAATGCAAATCCAGCTCCCTCTTTATCAATGCCATAACCCACCCACCCCTCCTCTCCATCTCCTGCTCATATAATATTTTATTGAAATGTCTGTCTTGGATTTTGCGGGATGCTAAGCTGGGCTCATTGACGAGTGTAATCTACTGCGAAGGCCTTCTAGGGATGGTCGAATATTTAGATAATCGAATATTCGATTTTCGAATTATCGGCACCGAGATAATCACATTACATTCGAATATTTGCTTCCAAAGTATTCAAAATCGCAAATTCAAATATTCGAATAATCGCATTCGAATTTGATAACCGCTCTTCTCTATCGTCAATCTCGTTATTAATTAAAACTCGTCCACAACACCACACGGAAATGACTGACCGTCTTAGTTAAAAGTGTCATTTATCTCTAACGGGTCATAAAAAATAAAAAATCGAAGCAATAATCGAAAGTATTCAAATATTTGCTTCCGAAGTATTCGCAATCGCAAGATTCGAATTCTCATATAATCGCATTCGAAAAGTTTCGAATATTCGAATAATCGCATTCAAATTCGATATTCGTCCATCCCTACTTAGAAGACACAAAACATGATAGATCTCTCTGTGTGACTTCAACTTGATATTCGAATGCAACTGCCTAAGCTGAGCACCCTCCCTTCTCAATCTTGTACTGGTTCTCATCAGAGCTCAAATTTTTCACTCTAATTGAAATATTGAACTTTTTGTCTTTATTTTCTCCGCAAAATTGTGTGGACACCGCACCATTTTACCACCTTGCTTATTAATATGCACTCCTTTTTTCTATGAATACAACATTTTTCTGTGTTCAGATTCTGTTGGCAAACTTCCTCGCTCAAACTGAGGCTCTTGCAAAAGGCAAAACCCCCGCTGAGGCACAGAAGGAATTAGAAAGCTCTGGAGTCTCAGGTGATGCCCTGCAGCGCATTCTCCCCCACAAAGTTTTCCAGGGCAACCGACCCACCAATTCCATCGTTGTCCCAAGAGTCACACCTTTCACTCTCGGAGCCCTGATAGGTACGGTACTTTTACTTAATACTTTACTCGTTTTTACTTTATACTCTGAAGACTTTTTTTCAGTTGAGTTGGAAACTTGAACAGGTCATTTGAAAACATGATACATTTCAGAGGTGAATAAATTTATCACCTTTAATCAGATATCAACAGGGAACTAAAAAACACATATGTATCTTGGTTTGTAATGTCGTAAATTTCCAGCCAAATTTTCATTTAAAGCCAGGAAAATCTACTGTTTTTATTTTTAAATTTTTTTTAAATTTTTGTTTTTTGAAATATCGGGATTCAAGTACTTCTTTTTACCTCCTTATTTACTAAAGATTACAAATTTTTAGGGACAACCAAAAAAGTTTTGAGTTAAAAAACTGTTTATTTGGTTTCATGACATCTTTAATTTTACCTCTTGTTTCTAATCATAATCCATCATATTTTAACCTTCATTTCTCATGAAAATGCTTTTCTACTTTTTTCAGCACTGTACGAACATAAGATCTTTGTTCAAGGAGTCATTTGGGATATCAACTCATTCGATCAATGGGGGTATGTATTGTCATTTTTTCTCAATTTATGTCAACTTTTTGTCCTGTATAGTTTATTTTACCAAATCCATCTCATACAGTCATTTTTAAAGGGCGTTAATCAGATGAGGCACATACTTCACTTTCAAAAAATCCCACACCCAGAAACCAAGGATGTCACTACTGCGGTGGATGATGTCTTAAACCAAATTTTTCTAAGCGCGATATCTCGGTTAATATTGAACTTAGAAAGTTTCTGTTTGGACAGATCTGTTTATCTTTAACTAATCTACAAGAATCAAGCATCAAAACATGATTCTGTGGCCAGTGCAACTGACCTATTATCTTACAAGCCCAATTTTGCATAAAGATTTATCGTCGCTAGTTATTTTTTTCCCAATGCTAATTACCTTTCTTTTTCATGTTATGTACAGTGTTGAGCTGGGTAAACAGTTAGCCAAGGCAATCGAACCTGAGCTTCAAGATAAATCGCCTGTTTCCAGCCATGATGGTTCTACGAACGGTCTCATCAATTTCATCAAGAAGAATTGGTAAATTTCTCTTGGGGAAACAAAACGCACTTTTCAACTGTCCATCGAGAAGACATCACAGCAAATAACCAAGTATTATTGTATGGAGACAGACTGACAGAAAGGTAAAACTAAGCTTGTGGGAATAACAGCCACAAAATCAGAGAGTTTCAAGCTTTCAACTCGGCTACTGCTCATGACCGAATAATTTCACCAGTAATGAAGAATTTTCAGTTACAAATTTTTATCGAAACTCTTACTTCCAGGCCGCCTAAAAAAAATCTCAAGTTTCAGTATTTCTTTCAGTCGTGTTTTTATACCAAAACTGCTGTTTTCTTTCTTTAACTGTTCATTTTAGCAGCCAAACTGAATAACCAATGATTTTTTTCCATCATGTTGTAATTATTCCTAGGTATATGTACTGATTTTCACACCATTTTCGATTTTAGCATAATTTTTGATGTTCAACATTATTTATTATTTATTTATTTTTGTAAGCTTCCATCTTTTTATTTATCAAACATGAATCATAAAAAATTAGACATTTAATGTACTTAGTGATTAATGAACGTAGTCTTTTTAAAAAGTAATGCGTGAATAGTTTATTCTTGTTGAGATTTTAGCTGTTTTATGTGTTTTTTGTTTTTTCAAATTATTTCTTTAAGCTTTGATGATGCTATTTGTAACATCATGAAATGAGTTGCTGCCTCTAATTGATCTAGAGGTATGAATTTTACGTAAATGAGTCCTTGTCAGTTTTTATTATCATGCGAAAGTGAAGCCTGCAAACTGAAATGTTTTGTATACTGGAAATCTGTGTTTTCTCAGCATTTTTTCTAAAATTGCCAATATTGATTGCAATACTTAGTGATTCGTGTGGAATACTTATATTTGAAAGCAAAGATTTTTTATCCTACAAGAAGCATTTTCAGCTGAACTTTTCACCAAAAACTAGGTACCTATGCTATGCTCTTGTAAAAATTGAATTTTAATGTCATTACTTTTTTTCCAGTCTACCGTAACCGTTAAAGCGTATAGTTGAATTATTTTTCGAAAGAACTGATGTATTAAATTTGTTACTTTTTAATACCTCTAGTTTCTAACTGATTCTCATTTTTCCCGTAGTCTTTATATCAACGATGAAACTGCACCGACGCGTATCTTGTCCATTGCATTTCAAAATCTCCGCTATCATTTTATTTGATCAATGGAAAACAAACCAATACAGTAGCTCGGATTTATAACAAAGTATTATTTTTTTTCACTAAGAAAATCAGGGAAGTTTTCCATAAATGACAGTGAGTACCTTCCCATTTAGAAAATTAAGTAGCTCGTTTTTATAACAAAGTATTCTTTTCTTGCACTAAGAAAATCAGGGAAGTTTTCCATAAATGACAGTGAGTACCTTCCCATTTAGAAAATAAACCATGATAGGAAGTTTGCTGCATTGCAAATCGACAATTGCATTTTAGCAGTTTCGCAGTCGATATTGATGCCTTTTACAGAAAAGGTATGTAACTTACATTTTTGGAAAAATAAGGTGAATGTTGGTTATTTTGGTACACATTATTATACTGTTTTTATTTAGGTATATGTTAGGAAGAAATTAGGTACCTACCTATTTGTGTTTTAGAATTTCCAAACGGTTTCAATGTTTTTAAAATATTAATTTGATAGCCATTTTTAGTACCTACTGACTCTGAAATAAGTAGCTCCAAATATTGCAATTTACACGTAATTCAATGAGGCCAGCGCACCTTTTTTCCCTGATGACTTAAAATGATTGAAATGAAGTAAGAAATGTTTTAGTTGTAGGGGGCTGATATTGGTGTAATTTTTTAATTAATGTAAAATTTTACAGACTTAAAGTGTCAGAAAAAAAAGGAAAAAATAATCAAAACCATCCTTTATGTACAGAAATGAAAGTAAGGTTATTTTACCATTACTTGATGAAGTTCCACCTTTTTAGAGCCGAAAGGTCTCTACATTTGTGTGATCAATTTTTGTGCAAAATTTTAAATTTTAATAAACTTAAAACAACAAAAAGATCTAATTGTTGAAACTGATCAGCAGAAACATGCTAGTTCTTTCTCCTATGAGAAATCTCAATAAGGTTTTCCTATTTGCATGCTTTAACTGGTTTTTAAGTTGTTTGAAATTTCAAATCGAACAATCATTTTACTATTTGAAAGAATCAACTAGTATTACGTTAAAATCAAGAGGATAAGAGATCTGAGGTTTTATCCCTCCATAAGACCTTTTATAAGTAGGATGTAAAAAGGCTAAAATTAGATATATTAGCCAAAATATTAGGCAAGATAAAACCTGAAACATCTTGGCTGGTTACCTACATGTTCTCAGGCATGATCAAAGTGTGATTCCACAATATCAACGAGGTACAAGAAGTGGGAGCTGATATTTTTGTCAATCTCTCAAAGGGACCTCATAGACCGTGGGCCAGCAAGGGGTAACCCTCCCCCCCCCCCCCCCCCCCC